AGGGCGATGGGATCGAGGGGGCAGGGGCTGTGTGGTCCCCTGGCGATGGGGTCCAGGGGCTGTGTGGTCCCCTGGCGATGGGGTCCAGGGGCTGGGTGCTTTGGGAGCTGGGATCCAGGGGGCAGGGGCTCTGTGGTCCCATGGTGATACGGTCCAGGGGGCAGGGGCTGTGTGGTCCCATGGCGATGGGATCCAGGGGGCAGGGGCTGTGTGGTCCCCTGGCGATGGGGTCCAGGGGCTGTGTGGTCCCCTGGCGATGGGGTCCCGGGGGCAGGGGCTGTGTGGTCCCGGGGCTGGTGCTTTGGGAGCTGGGATCCAGGGGGCAGGGGCTGTGTGGTCCCGGGGCTGGTGCTTTGGGAGCTGGGGTCCAGGGGGCAGGGGCTGTGTGGTCCCGGGGCTGGTGCTTTGGGAGCTGGGATCGTGTTTGGTGCCCGGCGAAGCGCAGGGGGTGGGGAGCAGCCGCCTTTCCGCTCGCTCGCCGCGGAGCCTCCGGCGGGCGCTGTGGCCGCTACCCAGAGTGCAGCAGGCAGGCGGGAGGAGGAGGCGCTGCAGCGGCTGGGCTCGGGCTGCTCGTGCTCCGCGGCCTCTCGGCGCAGCTGGTCCCGGGCGCAGGCGGCGGCGCGGCCCAGAATGCGAGTGTGAGATGCTTCCCCCGGCAGCGGCTCCCCGGGCCCAGGCGGCGGCGGCCCCCGCGTGGATGCGGCTCCGGAGCCGGCGCTTCACGCTGCACAAACATTTCTATAGGACTCATTCGCCCTGCTGAGGAGAGCGGCCCGGCCCCAGCCCCGGCCCCGGCCCCCGCCCGGGCCATGCAGGCCCCCGGCACAGCCCCGCCGCTTAGCGCCGCGCAGGTGGGCCGCCTGCGGGAGGAGCAGGGAAAGGTAAAGGCCGAGCAGCAGCGCCGGGGGCCTGGGCCGCTCCGCAGCGGGGCACGGAAGGGGGCCCGGAGCGCCGGGCCCGGCTGGGGGGAAGCGGGGCAGGGGCCCGGGGGAGGCCCAGGCCGCGGGGCCTGTAACGGTTGTTCTCGCTTCCGCCGCACCCGAGAGAGAGCGCGTGCGGGGAGCGCCTCGCCCCGGCGCGTCCGGTACCGCGGAGCTGGTGGGAGGCCGCCCGCGCGGCCAGGCTCAGCTGCCCGCTGAGCGTCTGGAGTCGCCTCAGGCCGGAGCCCAGCCCCAGGCAGGCCAGGGCCCCCGCCCCCCGCAGTGCCACTGACGTCATCGCCCCCCAGCAACTCCAGGGCTTGGGGGGAAAGGGGTGACCCCCAAAGTCGGTTCTGTCCCCCAGGGTAGAGGCCTGTGGGTGCTTTAACACAGGGGTGCTTCAAAAATGGACCCTGTCCCAGCGTATGGAGTGGACCTGAAATAAACAGTGTCAATGTTCTAGCTCTGCCTAAAGTGTTAAAACACAGTTGACCAAGTTAAAGATGATCTGTCAGCCCTAAGGCTTAGTGTCCTGGCTTCTGGCCCTGTGTTGCAGCCATGTTACTCAAATACCATCGTTTCTTCTAAATTCAAAGCATACCTTTTAGAAAAGTTGGAAGATACCCATATGTTTACTGATGCACCATGTGGGGCTCCCTAGGGGTCATTGCAATCTGTTGTGTAAATACTTGCTTTAATGTGTAACAAACATCCTTAAGGTTTTATGTCAGGGTGTAAATGTACATGCATAGTAGTACTAGTTTTTCAAATTACACCTCTACCTCGATATAACGCTGTCCTCGGGAGCCAAAAAATCTTACCATGTTATAGGTGAAATCGCGTTATATCGAACTTACTTTGATCCACTGGAGTGTGCAGTCTCTCCCCTCCCCCCCGGAGCACTGCTTTACCGCGTTATATCCGAATTCGTGTTATATCAGGTCGCGTTATATCTGGGTAGAGGTGTATTATTCTCTAAGATGCTTAATCTTTTTTTAATAGGAAAGGTGATTATGCTTTTAGGTCTGCAAGTTGGTCCACATAGAGCCCCATTGAAGTCAGTGGAGCTTCATGTGGGCCATAAGGTCTCTGCCCATGTGAACTAACTTGCATAGGTAGGGCATTAGGGACTAATCAGTCATGAGCCTTCTTTTAAAGAGTGATTACTTTAGAGTTGCATTTAAAATAGCCAAACCATCAAATGTATTTTAAAAAAGTTTCTTGCCTTAGAATACTGAATGCCTTCTCTTACTCCATACTTTATATGGGCTTAGTGCAAAACTGAGGATCTCTCCATCTTAATATTAGTCATATTCACTTACTAGGTGATTGATGTGATTTTTGGGGCTGATAGGCCCCTATTCTGCAACTAGCTCTGCGTAGGTACAGGTGTCTACCTACATGAAATTAATTGCATGATCAGAGCCATATTTAGCGCACCATAAGCATTAGTATTTCATGCCAATAATCTGCATACCTTTTCAGTTGTCCTCTTGGTCTCTTCATACGGTTAAAAATTTTGTATGCATCTTAAAAGTAGCTCCCTAGGTATAAAAGAAAACTCTTATTAGTTCCTTTATTGTATGGTGCTTCCAGCAACATCACTTTAACTGAGGGTGAGGAGCCTAAGTAATGCATACATGATACAGACCATGAGCATCTTCTGGAATATTATGTATAAACAAGATGTCTGGCTTTGGAGGAAAAGACTCACATAATTACCAAAAGATCTACCTAAATTGATGGGTTGTTAACATGGATGAAAATTAGGATAATCTGGTGGATACTCTGAATGGTCTCTTTTTATAAGAACATCAGATGAGAGAGTAAACTGTTCCCCTTCTCCACAGTCCAGTTACTTTCCTGGCTAGTTGACTGTGATGGAGAATTACGCTTCTGTGGTGCTTTAGTGTCAATTGGTCATGGAGTGTAAGTGCATGTCTGTCAGGAGCATGTAGAATTATTCCCAGTTCATGGCAAGGCCCTTCAGTAAGCAAGTTCAAGATTGTTCTCAAACAGATCTGCTTCAGTGGAAAAGAGACCCAAGAGGCCATTAATTAAGCCTCAGTTAGGCTGCTGTACCAAAATTGTATTTTATCATAAGGAAACTTTACATAATTTCTGCAGATTGGCTAAAAATATTTGAACCCTTCAGCTTCATTATGAAAATATCCTGAGGAGCTAAATATCTTAGTTACAATGGAGTGTCAGGATGAATATATAGTGGACTCTGCCTCTGTGGAATAGAGAATTGGAAGCTGTATATAATTGCATTACAATAATGTTTTTGATTATGAAAATATTACATTTTAATGTTGAGGAGACCATTTCATTTGTACCATCACCTTACTTTTCAGATATTCATAGTTTTCATAAATTTGAGCAAACTCCACTTGGAGGTAATCTTGAAATTAGATATTATTGCTATAAAATTTTGCACAGTGCTTTTGCTAATCTAGTAATCATCATATAAATATCTTTCACAGCCTGTGTTCTAATACCCTACAACATTTTCTGTATATATTCTCAAAAGAAGTGGTCAAATAATATTTGTCAAATAACTTGAAAATTTCTCACTTTAAAAAAATATTTAATTGATATATTTTTATTTTCACCCAGCTCTGACTCTCATTCTGATATGCTTAGATTTACACAAATGCACCCACACCGCACTGTTTATCCAGGTGACAATATGCCCCTTTTAGGACTGAACCTTGGTTGAGTAAAAAGAAATTATTTAGCTTTAGTCCCACTAGACTGAAACTTATACCATAATGTGTCCTTTTCCCCTCTAGGCTGTGAAATAATGAAGTACACTATTAATTACCTGCTGACCTAGAAATATTTTTATTTGAATCAGGATTGATTTTTAGCATGCATTCTGCTCTGCTAAAGTGGATATGTGTTGCATTCTTTTACTGATTTAGGCATGAGTTTTGGCTTTTAAAGTGTAGTGTGTAGTTCTCAATCTTCTCAATAACAGGAGTCCCCTTTCATCTACCTAGGACCTCTCTCCTATTTATCAACGTAGAAAGAGCAGGAAGTTCATGACAACTGCTTGGGGCTGCAACATCCCAGTTTAGGAACTCTGTTGGAGAGTGATTTTAATTCTTGGTTAGAATAGCCATTTGCCTGTTGAATGGTTTTCATCTTGTTAGTTTGTAGTGATAATCAGGCCAAACCGTTAAAAGCAATTTTCAGGACATCTACTAAAGGTACTTGGTAGAAAAACATGTCTTAGAATGTGTATCTTGGGGATAAATTATAGAAGAATATCTAGTAATTTTCATGATAAAGACTATCACTGAAAGCATCATGACTGCTTAAAGTTTTGAGTGTTAGTGTAAAAAAATATAGCGCATGTATCACTGATTGCTTGAAAGTACAGTACCTGTTAGCCGGAAATACTATGTTAAGCCCACTGCTTGTAAGTGTAGGAAGTACAATACAGATATTTAAAGAGGCAGAATCTCATGCTCTAGAGCAGCGGTTCTCAAACTGTGAGTTTGGACCCCAAAGTGGGTCGCGAGCCCATTTTAATGGGGTTGTCAGGGCTGGCTTAGACTTGCTGGGGCCCGGGGCCAAAGCCCAAGCCCACTGCCCAGGGCCAAAGTCCACCCATCAGCTCTGGGTGGTGGGGCTCAAGCCCTGGGCGGTGAGGCTCGGGCTTCAGCTTTGGCCTCCCCGTCTGGGATGGTTGGACTTGGGCGGGCTCGGGCTCCTCCCCGCCCAGGGTCGTGTAGTAACTTTTGTTGTCAGAAGGGGGTCGTGGTGCAATGAAGTTTGAGAACCACTGCCTTAGAGCCTGAATTTAAATTTAATAGTTTATATATAAATGTGATTCTCAGTGACTAATGGATCATGGGTTACTAACAGATAAGAGGTAGATGAATGTTCTGTACTGTTTGTCACAGTTTTGCAGACAGTTAAAGTGTTGAAGAATTGAACAAGTTATTTGTTACAAAATGGGAGATGTTTACAGAACCAATTAGACCCAGGAGGGACATGTTGAGTGCAAATGCAATCTTGAGTAATCTAACGAACTCCATTGAGGTCTGGAAATGTGGTGGTTTGTGTAGGAATAGATTTTTAAGGTTTTCATGTTTCACTGATTCACGTTTGTTTTTTCTTCCTGGTTTAGGAAGAGTAGGAAGGGAAAGTGACTCTCCTGCAATTTACCATGACATCTAAGTATCATGAGGTTTTAGGGCACCTGTTATTGTGACTACTGGTCAGTGTATGTTACATGTCCCTGACAGATTACTCTCTTATGAATTTAATTGATGTAGGGTAATGTTATCTTTAACTCCAAATGGTATGCGTAAGGTTTTGTCCGCGTGTACAGTTTTTCAACAGTTGAAGAAAACAATTGAAAGTGGTGTACATAGCTTGTGTCCTGGCCTATTAGCTGCAACCACTGCTTTTGTTTTGTCCTCTACCTGTATGAATAACTCCAGTACCTGTCACTGCTGCTGTTCAAGTCTTTTTCAAGCAGCATCTGCAGTACAAAATTGATAAGATTCTTGATGGTTTCAGAGCTGTTCCCACAGTTCTAAAGAATAACAATGTAACTGATCAGAATCTTAACGCCTTTTAATTGTGGGCTTGTCTATACTTCCGGCTAAATCAGCACGGCTGTTGGTCTGGTGAAGACCAGCTACGTCGATGGCAGAGCGCTCTCCCATTGATGTCTGTACTCCACCTCCCTGTGAGGCGGAAGGTAAGTCAGCAGGAGAGTGTCTCCCGTCGACATAGCGCAGTGTAGACATGCTGTAAGTAATGCTGTTATGTAACTGAAATAACGTAACTTAGGTCGACTTACAGCTTTAGTGTAGAATAGCCCTCTGATACTGCAACAGCGGCGTCACTATAGGTGTCTGCAGACTCAAGAAAATGACACTGCATTGTTTTATACATATTTCATGTTTGGAAGCTTATCTTTACCGCCATACGTTCTAGAA